GTGGTCAGAAGTTGGATGACCTTTGCGTTGTGTTGTGCAGAGTGATGAACGTTAGATGCTTAGAAGCTGCTGTTTGAACCATAACAGTAGGAAAGTGACGGTCTTGACTTTATAGTTACAGAATGACAATGTTGACTTACTGTGGGAATTAAAATACTGCTGAGTTATAAATGAGAAGTTATTAATAAATAAATGATGTTTGATGAATTATTTTGATTATTTGAGATGTTTTTGAGATGATTATTTGAGATGTTTTGAGATGATTATTTGAGATGTTTTGAGATGATTATTTGAGATGTTTGAGATGATTATTTGAGATGTTTTGAGATGATTTGAGATGTTGGTAACTTAGGTGTTATCATTACATTCATGGTTGTGTCGCATACATTGCATTTTGAGATGGAGCTTATGCTCGTTGAGATGGCCTGGATTGGCAAATTTTGAGATGAAGGCTATGCCTTGTTGATGCCTCTATTAATTGGAAAAATTTTGATATGGGAGTTCTGCTCCAATGGTACCACATGCATTTGCATAGTATTGAGTCGCATTATATGATTTCATAAAGAAGTGTATTTTGATGTGGATGAATGTATATTATTGTTGAGATTGTTGTTGATTATGAGATGAGAAGTGGTGATGTTTTTGATCTAATTTAATATATTAATTATCATGCACTTTATTATATTGTTAGATATCTCACCCCTTCTGTTTGAATGTTGCCCCTATGTTGGTAACGTGCAGGTAATCGAGAGTGAAGGTTGTATACCTTCAATAGTTCGAGTCGGTGTCATTGCTCTGATATGTAACACTCATGGGGATGAACGTTTGTTGATTCTTGATCGTTGATTTTCAGTTGTTGAATTTTAAATTGATTATTATTAAATATGAGATGTTTTCGAAGTTGCTAAATTGTTAGAGATGTTACTAAGAATTCTGTTGTGTAGATGTTGATTTATTTGATTAAAAATGTTATGTTGATGGTTCACCCGATGCTTGAAAAAGTGTTATATATCCACGATGAATGCAATGAATTTGTTAGAAGAATTTGTGACGTCCCGATTCATTTGTATGATTGAAATTTTATAACTCTGATTTATTTTGCATAATTGCTTGGGTAGAATTGGGGTGCTACACACACACACGCACATACACACACACAACACACACTTAAAAGCTTTTTTGAACTTATTTTTTAACTATCAAAACTCATAAAAATATTTTCAAGCTCAAGGCTGCTGATTAGGAAACTGTCAGATTCCTTTTGAAGAATTTTTGAACTACCCAATAGATTGAGACATTAAGCCAGACGATTGAAAAGGAAAAATCAATTATGACATTATCTTAATGATTGGCAATGACTCTCTATCCAAACTTTTCAAAATGGGAAAATATAATCGATTATTTAGGGCATACAATCGATTGGAATAAGAACCCAAATGAATTGGACTATTAAATCGCTCATGAATCATTTACTATTTTAAATTTCTCATCTCCTATATAAAGTAGGCATCTTTCCTCTTCATTTCACAAGAAAAATTCCAAATTTCTCGATTTCTTTGGAATTTATCTCTATTCTTCCTCCCTCTCTCTAAAATATTTTTTCTTTTCACGTAAGTTATCTTAGTGATTTTGAGTCAAAATATACTTTTGAGGAAGAAATTATATTGGCGGCGTGTTGTTGTTATTATTCACAAGAGTGTGATACTCTTGAGAAATTAAGTTTGGTTCTTGAAATAAACCAGTCTTACAATATTTGTTTTGTTCTGGAACTTAGCCGAGAAAGTTTTATTTGGTTATTGAGATTAGCATGGAAAATTTTTATCAATTCGTTAGCTTAACCTGAGTAAAACCTTTCTTTTTGGTTGGAGATTAGCCATTCTAAAATATTTAGATCCGCTTATATCGAATGTTCGTGGACATAACCTGTAAAGCTCAAGTTTACAATCAAAATCTCAATAAGATCTCTTGAGGGCAGGAGTAGACCAACGTTCGGTCGAAACTAGAATAAATTATCAGTTTCATCTCTCTAAACCCTTATCTCTCAATTTCTCCTATTTATTTAACCGTTTTTATTTTCCGTTGTTTGTTTTACTTTGATTTTAAGAATACTAACACAATTCTCTTTTTAAGTAACAAAAACTATAAAAAAAATTGATTGTGAATTTTGAATGCTACAATTTAACATCTCCTCATATGCTTGAAGTCACTTGTCAAACGGGTACTACCTACCTTTTCATTGTCTCGAAACCCTGGAGTGGGTCTTTCGTCTTCTGATTTCCCTTTTTCATATTTTTGCCTCTGATACCGAAGCTTGTCTCTTCGTGGTTTTCTTGGTTGGTTCCTTTGAATAGTATAATCCTTCGGTTATCATGAAAATGACGGGAATTGATGAAGTAAAAGTTGAAGGAGTTTGAGCGATGATGCAACCATTGTGGACGGTTATGCAAGCACAAAGTGATCGAATCGGATAACAGAAACAATTGTGGTGGCACAATGAAAAATATAAGATAGATTTGTCGCAAGATTTCATGAGAATAAAGAAACAATTCCCACAGACGATGCCACTTTTTCGATGTGGAACAAAATTTTGGTGAGGTCTTCATGAATGTTGTTGTAGAAACTCTCTGGTACAAAGGCAAGAGTCTTTAGTGTGTCGAAAATGAGACATAACTACAAGATTAACACTCCAACATTTAAGTCAGTGAAGTTAGAAATGGGTAACTTGAAAAAATGAATGAAAGTATCTGGATATGGAGAGTAGTTAGGCTTATATATGATGACGATTCAAACTGATCCCAGTGAATGCACTGTGGATACAGGAGGCCATTAGATTGAATTCAACTACTGTATTTAGTGTAGTACTGGGTTCTAGTGAGCAGTCTCTTGACGAAGGTTGTTTGTAATCTTTAGGCCGACAAAAGTTTAGATTGAGTTTTTGAACTGAACCGATCTTATTGCATTGATTGAGTTGCCCAAAATAGAAGTCACATCCACATTTGGCTCTTTAAATCATGTTAATGCTAAGGGAATTTTTTAATCCACCTTATGTAGTTGAAAAGAACCCTGTGAAAATCCAAAAATGTCATTTGATTTCTGGAAATACATTTTCAGACACACCCCACACACTTACAATTCTTTCGTTTTTAAGATACGTCACATTTTACGGCTAAATTTATTCCGAAAATATATTTCTGAAATGTTTCCGAAAATACACTTCCGGTAATTTTTAATAAGTCTCGCGTACAATTAGTAACCAGAAATTGTGTTGCCTCTTTCTGTTTTTTCGATTTTATTTATCAATAGAGGTCATAATGCATTGTCATATGATCCATCACTTTGATCAGGATACAAAAACCAACAGATACAGATTTTACTTCAATCATATTATGACTCAGAAACTGCAGTTGTGGAGTAGAAGTTATTGAAAGTAAATTAGATGATTCATATTTAACATTAACAAATCAGATTTGATTCACATATACTGCTACATATTTTTGTTTTAGAAAATTGATGTTTTTAACATAAACTCTTTATTCAAAATAAAAATCATCAACAAACAACATTGACAATCTTAAAACACAAACACAGCAAACACATAGTTTGATTACAGTGATGGTTGTTGAGTGTGAAGCTTACTCTGCAATTTATTAAATGTGACAACTACATTAACATAAATCTTATCTTCCATGTTGTTTAGTAGGTTCTAGAAATGTACTTTCGAAATAAATTTAATCATAAAACGGAGACATATTTTAAAAATGAAAGAATTATACGTGTGAAAGATACTTTCGAAAATATATTTTTGAAAATCAAATGTGTTTTTAGAATTTCACATGGCGCAAATGTAAATCATACGACGCTTTAAGAAATTCCATGATGCTAATGAGTTTGTGAGCCGTAATTGAAGTTTAAGGATCATGATAGTTGGGTGGGGGATTTAAGAGAGAAATGATACATTGATATGCAATGAGTTGTACTGAATTACAATTGGGTTGTAAAGACATTTTGTAATGTAAAGTTATAAAGAGGTCTAATAAGTTAGTACATTGATTCGAAATTATAAGGAAAAGAGCTATTAGACTTTGTACTGCATTGTTAAGAAATAGCGAAATCCAATTGTCTAATTTGGTCTTTCAAATTACTAATCCAAAATCAAACTCAAAATTTCATTTTATAAATTCATTTGTCTATTTCTGCTGACTATCCTAAAAATAAACCAGTTAAAATCAAATCAGATATGAAAATTAAACCTCTCACCCTTAATTAACCAAAACCAGGATCTCAAGTCCAAGGGAAAATTATATTGGACGCTTCATCTTATAACAAATGACACAAGAAATTGCAATAATGGATAACAATTTGCATATCATCAAAGAAATAGAACATAAATGTTTAGTTTGATTTTTCTCTTTTCTTTTTCTTTTTTTTCATAGCTTTTTTTAGTCTTTTTATCTCTTTGATTCGTTTTATCACAAACATATTTTTGACTTCCAAACACTACTCTTTCCTTTAATGTTGAATATTTTCTTTATTTGACCAATGTTTAGACTCCTATTACATTTCTTTATATTTACATTACTATAATTAATATTAAAATACATCAAACAATAAATTTTCATATAACTTTTTTATGGTTCTTCTTATTTTTAATACAAACAAATTAAAAAATAAAATAGAAGAAAACATATGAAAGAAGCAAATGAACAAAAGAAAATGAAACACAGACACATTTTAAGAAAAAGACAAAGAACAGTGTTGCATAGAAAAACCTGCTCACAATTCCCTGTTCTGTTATATTCCAAAACCACACCAATCACCAACTTCACCATAACAATAACAACCAAACCTCAACACTCTCTCTTTTCCCTCCATTTCCATGCCATGTCATCATTATTCCATTCTTTTCTTTTCCACTTGAAAAACTGAAAATTATTATTACAGTCTAACAAACAAACACAAACAACAACACCATCTCCTCTCATTTTTTTCATTCCTCAAAAATGGATACTCCACCAAACCACACTTCTTCACATAATAACTTTCTCATTTCCGTTACCGTTTTCGCAGTTACCGTTATCGTTTTCTTAACGATCTATTTCATCTTCCGTTACCGCCGCAATAGCATCACTCGTCGTTTAACTCCGCCGTCGTCTTCCACAGTTTTATCATCCGGCAATAGAGTATCGCCGGAGATGGCTTCGTCGTCGTCTTCCGTAGTTGATTCTCTCCCGCTGTTTACTTTCTCTTCCATCAAACGCCGTTCATCGTCTGTTATCTCCGGCGACTGCGCTGTTTGTTTGTCGAGGTTTGAGCAGAATGACGTCCTCCGTCTTCTCCCTCTCTGCTGCCACGCATTCCACGCGGAATGCGTTGATGTTTGGCTCCGGTCGAATCTGACGTGTCCGCTTTGTCGATCAGCTGTTATCGCTTCGGAATCGGAGCTTGTGAAGATTTCCCAGCCGGTATCGTCTTCTTCTGATAACAGTTTCCGTTTGGAGTTAGGAAATGTCAGCAACCGTGGAGCCACCGCATCTGAGATTGTCAGCGGAGAAAACGATCGGAGATCATACTCCGTCGGCGCATTCGAGTATTTCGTCGACGAGGAGGCTGAGATTCCGTTCGGTCACACTAATCGAAGAGTTCTTTCTGGTGAGAAAGATGATGCACCGGCAGTGCCGGCGGGGGAGGTCCCGGTTCCGGTGGCTTCTTTGGTCGGTGAAGGTAACAACTGGCTGAAGGATTACATGGACAATATATCTAGTGTGACGTGGTTTAGAAATTCTGGAAGGTTCTTCAATGGGAGTAGTAGAAGAAACGACGTAGTTGGAGTTCAAGATTTTGATGTTGAAGCTAATACCTTTGGGGAAGAAATTAGTGAAATGTTTAGATGGGTCTCTGGCTTTTGATTATGAATTAATCATGTAATTAAGAAATATAGTTAATACGGTTTTCAATTTTCTGAAAATATTTTTATTTTATGTGCATAAATCACAAAGTTAGCACATAACTCAGATATTATCGAAGGAGTTTCAAAATTGGCTAAAGTATTTTTAATATTTTTCTTTGGTTTGGTGAATTATGTGTGTGATAGATAGTACTATTTATTTAATGTCTTTATCAAAGTAATTAATTAAGTTACATCCAAAGTTGTGGTTTGTGTGTGATATTTGCTTTTTCTTTTAGCAGATCTCTCACAGTGTGAATGTAAGTGATTTTGTATGATATGGAATATGGATTACCAACCATATCAAGTTATTAAACTAAAAATACCTTACTTGTCGAACAACACGTGTAGTACTTTATTATTCCATTTAATAATGTTGGTAAATGACAGTTAAACTAGAATTTCATTCAAGTAATAGATCGATTAAGAGAATAATTTACTGAATTACTGTGTTGATTTGGAAAATAACAAATGTATTTAATCTTTTATATAGGTCAGATACATTCATTATTGTGTATTTGGTTTTTGTGAGAAAGAATTTTAAATTTTTAACCTATTTTTCAGTGGAAAGGTATATCCTAGTCACAAATTTAGTTTGCTTATGAGATTAATTCAAAAAATTTCGAGAGAAATCTATGTAAAATAAATGTGCGAGAAAAAGTATTTGCGAGTTCAATGTAGATGTTTTATATAAAGACAAAATAGAGACAAACTTTAACTTAAAAACTTTGATGAAAGTAATAAACAAAAAGTACAATAAATAACATTAAAGAGAAAATGCTTTAAATGACATTAAAGCAAATGTTTCAATTAAGGAAACATAAAGACGGAAAGAAAGGGACGCAGACTCATACATATTCCTTACAAACTGTTTCGCTCTTTGACTCAAGTACCACAGTTCTATAAAGTGACATATGAATTTTGTAATACTCCATTTCTATCCAACGAATTATATAAAATCAGAGTTTCAAAATTTCTAACGAATAAATGAAATGCTACGCATTCGGCTTATAACAACGACGTTTAATCGCATTTAAAACAGATACATAACACTTAAAACTCGGATGAACTAACAACAACATAACTTAGTCTTTTAAAACCAACAATTTTCATTACTACGCAGCGGAATCATAATATCCAACTTAAAAGGACATAACATCTTATCCAACTAAAAAAAACTTTTAGAAACAACAAAGTACTTAGTAAATCAATTTAAAATTCAGCAACAGAAGTAAAAACATCAATGAAGCAATAAGCGTTCATCCTCCCGAGTGTTACGTATCAGAGCGATGACACCGAATCAAACTATTGAAGGTAAACCACTTTCACTCTGGATTACCTGCATGTTACCAACATCGAGGTAACATTCAAACAGAAGGGGTGAGATATCAAACAATATAATCGGATGTATGATAAATAATACGTTAGAACTAGATAATATAAAATCACTGCTTCATAGCTTTTAAACAACATCCATTACAACCAAGTCATCAACATAATATCACAACTAATTCATCATTACAACAACTCAAGATGCAACATGGAATGTGACTCGTTTTTATGCACATGTATGTGGTACCAACGGAACAAAACTCCTAACTTAATAATCTTGCCAATTAATAGAGGCAACAACAAGGCATAAGCCTTCAACTTTATACTTTTCAATCCATGTCAACTTAATATGCTATGTATGCGACAACATGATTAAAAGCAACAACAACAATAATAACATATAACAACATTGGCATAAACCTATAACTAAATAATTTCCAATTATAGAGGCAATACAACATGATTCATCACCGCCTGCAACTTCAACGATTAAAAGCAACAATATCACAACAACTTATATACATACCGATACCATTATCGACCAAGTCTTATTAATTTAATTCCACTGAAATATTTCACTGAACGATCATTTTTAGTTGAATCAATGAGGTTATTATTTCCTGACACTAATTTACTTGTACTACTATTTTAGTTTACGGGTTTTCTGTTATTACTAGCCTACTACTACTGTTAAGATCATCCTGCTAAATACTTACTAATTATATAATTCAATCCAATCATCTATTTCATTATTCTGCTATATAAGCCAGTTCTACAGTTTGTGTACTTAATCTATGCTATTAACCAATTAATAGGATGGGGTAACAGACACACAGGAAAACAGAGCAGGCAAAAGAAAATAGAATATAGATGTTTAGTGTGTGCCCCTCATCACTCAAGTGTGCCCCTCGACACAAAACTAAAGAAAACCATGCCGCCCACCATGGAGTAGTGCCGCTCGGCACACTCCTCTACATACCATGTTGTTCGGCATGCTCGTGTGCCCCTCGGTATGTTTCTGCACTTTGTGTCGCCCGATACAATACTTGTGCCCCCCGGCATAGAGTGTTTGTCACGCGGCTTCTTCATAGACTTTCTGATGCAAACACAGAATTCTCCAAATCTTCTTTCGATTAACAGTATTTTCATAACAACGTGATACAACGCAGTATTACACCGACATGACAACTTAACAACAATTATAGATAAAATCTAGCACAGACTATTATTATCAGCAATGTTGCATACCAATTCAACACTAGTTTAGGAATACATAAACACAGTTATACGTATAACAATTACACCAACCCAATTCATACATACTATTCGTCATAATTCCCATTATAGAGTCAAAACCCAACCGTTACCTTAGAGTTAATATGAACATAGTTATGCTCTAACCAGTTCATACCTAAGATTACATCTAACCCACTTAAAGGAAAACAAAATAAATCAACGACAAAGTCTCTGTCGAAGATCGGTGTTGTACCCCAAAATTTGCCCTCGCATTTTTCCCCAAGAAATCTCAGCTTCAAGCCTTTCCTGATTTTTCAAACTGACTCAAGAATCGGACAAACAGACTTTTCTTGTCAGTCAAGCGAAATTAGGGTTTTTACTGATTTTCAGGACTCTGGATTGTTTCACAGTTGGCTTAGGGTTTTGGATGATTTTTGGTTCAATTTTGATCAGGCGAGCGTTATTTGGCATTTAATCAGGAATTAAGGGTTTTATGGGCATGTTCTCAGAAGGATTTAAATTCCACAGCACTTTGCAGTTTATTCCGAGATTCGGGTTAAAATTCGCGTTGTTTTGATTTAATCAGTGAAAGAGACAGTGGTTTGAATTCATGTTGTTTGAGCCAGTCAAAGATATGTGCAGTTTGGAATTACAGTGCATGGCAAAGAATCAGAAGGAACGCGCTTGATCAGTTTATTTCGGTTAACTGCTGCTTTGCTTCGGATATTGGAAGAGACAGGTTTAATTGATCAATATTGTTTTATTTAAGTTATTTATTATTCTAAATTGAATGATTGAAATTTATTTTTCAATTGTTTTGATTCAGAGAGTTTTAAATAAATAAATAAACGATAAAGAGAATTAGAATTAATTGGGTAATTTAGATTTTATTGATATTTAAATTATTTGTACAAATGTTGTTTATAATTTAAATTACAAACAATAATTTACATTAATTTAAATATTAAATAAAATAAAAACTATCCTATTTCTAATATTCTTCATTCTTCACTTCGCTCCGGTGCTCCATTTTTTTCATCTGCAAAAAGAAAAAAGAAAGTCAGAAAGCAGTTAAATTAAAAGAGACAGATAAAATTTGCTCATCATTAGAGGTCACTGACTGGGATCAGTTGACCCTCTCTGCAAATCGCGGGATTTCTCCCGGTTCACAAAGAGGGAAGAATTTCATTTTTATTCATGAATGCAAATGCATAAAATCCAAAGTTCAAACTGCATAGTTCAAATCCAAGTCAAACTGAAAATCCAATTCCACTTTCTATCAAAAGCAAAAAGAGCAACTTACTGCCAAAATGCCAAAATCTACTCAAAAGATATCAAAGAAAAATCAAGGAAGTACAAATTGCTGTCAAAAGTGCCAAGGCTGTCATAAAAGATTTTGGAAGATATCACAAAGTGCCAAAGCTGTCAAAGAAAGAGAAAGATGCAAAGAAGTAATGTGTTATGCAAGCTAAATCCTTAATCATCATTTCCCATCAGGGCCCCTTCAGAAAAGCACAGTAATAAACATTTAAAAATTCTTAACTGTACTTTGGAGAGAAAAAGGGAGATAAAGTAAGCATATGCAGGTTTTGTAGGCTGAGGCGGGACAGGCAAACATAACAAGAAAAGATATAATCCAAGAGAACTCAGTTCAGCAAGAGGAGGAAGAAAAATATACAAAGCATTGGCCTAACCAAAACCTGCAGAAGCTCTGCCTCCAAAACAAAACAAATACCATACACTGAACTACCAAAACCCCTGTAAAACCATAACCTGCAAACTGATAAAAACCCAAGCCAAGCCATAAAAACCTGTTGGAACTAAACCTGCAATGGCCTGGAGACCTCACAAAAACTCAAAACCTTGTTAAGTCCAAGCATCACCCTGTTGAAGCCTAAGCCACCAAACCTACAAACACACAAATATACAGAACATACAGCAAAAGAGAAAGAGGCCATAACCTCCATATTAAAACCTACTGTCAGCATCCTGCCAAACACATAGCCCATCCTAAAACCAACAACCTGCCTAACCACCATACTCTCAAACATATCCAAGTCCCTCAAGCATACTCAAGCCAGTCATTGTAAAAGATAAGCTTAAGCCTTTCAAAGCCTCAAGGCTCCAAAAAAGGCATCAAGCCTTCAAGCCCTCAGAATCTTGGATTCATCATGGGGCGAGGAAGAAACATTTCAGATTAGGCAATTCAGAAGAAGGCCATCAAACAAGAAGACAACATATTCAAAGGCAAACCCATCAGGCCCTGAGTGAAACACATCATGGGGCAAGCTCAATAATCCAAAGGCAAAACATTTGAGGCAACGTAAGCAAAAGTTCTAGGCAAGCAAACACACAGGAGAGGCAAATTCAAGGTAACACAGGGCAACAAGAGAA